TGAACAAACATCACTTCCATTCCCAGTGATGAAAATATAGCAACCAATAACAGTCACTGTCAATATTAAACATCGGCAATGAGCTCTGCGATATTATTGATTGAAACGAGTTTCAATTGGTTTAATTGCGCTAGCTTTTGAATGAGCAAATTTGGTGACAATCATAGTGCAGTTTTTTGTCAGCACATTTGCGAATTTATTTTTTGTCGACGTATTGGATTGTTTTTATACAGTATTCAGGATGTTTCAGTTCTAATCTGTAGGACATCAATAATAGGTCATGGAAATAATCAAATTATACAATTCATGGCAAATTCTGTCACTAGTATGGAAAGGCTCATTTTCTCGGTCAGAAATGATGATCTGTTTACCAAACTTAGTGGCGTATCTGCTCTGTTTGAGTTTGTACGCAACAATATTTGGGAAAGAGCAGGGCTCTTGTTTATAACAACAAAATACAAAACAAATGGAAACATTAATCATAATAAGCAAACTATCATAACAGAGGTAAAAAAAAATTAATTTGATCTGAATCAAATGAAGTATTGTCTTTTTCCGGTTCGTACATATCATCAGTACCTATATGTACACTCATATCACTTATTTTGTGGAATAAATTCAAACAAAATTCAATATACCTACACCTTGGTAGTGAAGAATATTTATCACCACGGGTTATTATAATCTTGGTCTCTGGGTAATACTGATATTCTTCACTACCTTGGTTCATGAATAACCATTATTCAATTTCGGTTCAAGATGGAAAGGTTTTAGAAAAGTAGAAATATACAGGGTGTTTCATTTGAAAAACTCAACTGTGTGCTATATATATCCAAATGATAACAACTTATTCTGAAAATCTGACTATGCCACTGGATGCTACGAAAAAAAGTGTATAATATACAGGTTTTTGTTCTCTCGATTAGGTGAAAGATAGCAGAGATACTGATGCAACATTTTCAATTTCGTCCTGTATCTCGATAAAAAAAGCATGCAAGCTCTGAAAATTGTGTTTGCGGTACCTATCTCTCTTTTAAAATAAGTGAGATGTCTCGTGTAAAATACACAGAAAGTACATCACATATCGATCAGTTTTTGTTGATAGCTCGCCTTTTCTATGAGTGTTCATCATTTTTCGTTCACCAATTCGAAAATTCAGATTATATAAAGTCAATCTATGTACCTGAGGTATAGTAAGAGTTTCCAAACATGAAACAACGCTTCATTAGCCTTCATGAATGATGCATTACAAGAATACAAGAATCAAACCCTCGTCAATATGCTATCAAACTTCAGTACCTATCCCTCTAGTCTAGTCAGTCTAGTCAAACTCTATGCCGTAACAGTGGACTCAGTTGAAGTCGAGCAGTAGCGTATCGTAACTAAAAATAATTTCACTACTAGCTCTAAGTAATGTTGTATGATTATTGGTAAATTTGGCTGATGATCGGCTGAAATTATTCGATCAAATCAACAACATGTTTATAGTTGAATCAACATCGACATTATTTCGGATCGACATAATTTGTTTTTGAGACCATATATTTTGTTGATGGAATTGATATTATACCGTTGATTCAATTAGACTAAATTCTTGCTTTGAACAAGCTGCTTCTATGAAATAATCATGTATCAGGTTGATTCAACAAGAAATTGCTCAGTCCTACATAGATAATCGAAGCATAAATAATTTGTTGATGCAACAAATCCTTTCCCGTGATGACGACATCTATGAGGTATATGCTGTCTGTTTGTATTTTGAAATTGAGGCTGAGCTTTGCAGGAGAGTGCTGAAAAAAACGAGCTTGAAATGAGTGATATCAGTTTTTGGATATTTTTTCGAATAGTCAATCGATAAGTGAATGTAGGTACTGAATGGTTGTTCACAAAAATCAAAATACTCCATAGTTCCTCAGAAAACGTGTACCTATATTTTCTCAAGAAGAAGATGTTGACGTGAGTGAAGAACTTTTGTATCAAGAATGGATCGCTTTTGCCAAAATAAAATGAAGCAGATTCGAATCACTCACTTTTGATACAAGGCATTTAGAATTCAGGGAAGGAAAAGGAACTTTTGTTTTCCTCTGTCGAATGAATGACCAAGCCATCAGCTTTCCTTGGGAACCAAAATTCTGGCTCACATCTCAAAACATATCCAATATTGAAATATTGACAGTAATTGCACTATTTATTTTGGATTCAGTTTGTCTGATAACTAAACACAAGTTGAAATTCACTACAACTCCCATCCATCATCACACGCGCAACAGCAATTTCAGTTTGAAACTTCCTCTACCCACAAGAGAGTTTGTCAAAGATTCCATATACTATAATGGTGGGAAAATGAACAACCAATTGCCAGTTGATATAAGGTCAGCTGCATGGTCTGGATTATTGTCAATTCAGGAAGAGAGTCAGAAAGTTCCTCTCTGAAAGAACTCATTACAATTTGCAGGAATACTATAGTGATACGTTTGAATTGTGATATTTTGGTATTTCAATGCGGAATTTATTTTGCCTATATTTTCTCGTATTTTCATATCGTTATATTTTCACCTTCTTTCACAATATTATCTGACCATGCTTTCTCAACAAGATTCTTCTTCAGACAATGAAGCATATTAATATTATTATGAATTACGATTTGGTCGAAATGACACTATTTGTATAGAATCGGACAAGAGCCCAGCTGCTGTCAGTTACGTCACTGGTAGGACTAAAATCATCGATAAACTCTTCGGAAATTATTGTGTGTGCTTGAATCGAGGCAATAGCGTGTCAGTTATCGACAAAGGGAGAAGTTTTGAATGGATGAGGATGCGAAGTGGGGAGTTTGAAGGAAACCCGAGGTGGAAATTCGAGGCAGACAATTTCTGTCCCAGTCACGTATACGTCGAATCGGCAAAGTTGCCAAATAAGTATAGGAACGTTCTTGCCGAAAAGTTAAATCTGGTATATCGAGTTTTTTCCTCATTTTGGTTTACGGGGTGACCAAGATCTAATCAGTAGCGCATGATGGAGAAAGTATGATCATATTAGTAACTCCAACTGCGAAATAGTCACAATGCTCAAATTGGGATGAAATGTTGAATGAATACGAAAAGCTCAAAAGTCAATGGTAGATTTCGGAAGAAAAACAACTACTTTCCTGACTAATACCACGCAGAACATTGAATTACAACCTCCCAAAATCTATGCATCGACTCGTATAAACGAATACCCATACAAGTGATTCTTTCCTGAATGCCAATTGATTTCGATTCTGCCAGGCCACGCTAGACAACCACCGATTTCAAGTTCTTTGACTCATCAGTGCAGTGTAGTCTCCAGCTAGCAGTCCTAAGACCGCCGACTCAGCGAAGCCTAGCCAAACAAAATTCAAGTCGGCATTATATTCCTCCCGAGGCGTCTTTCATCGACAATATGAAAGTAACGCCATCTGAGTAGAACAGAGGAAAGAATCACTCCAAAACTGAAATTCCCATACGGGAGTGGCTGGTTGTCCGACTGGCGTGATTTCAACTGCGAAATAGCCACAATGCTCAATATCGAATGAAATGTTGTTTCCACACAAAGTTCATAAAATGAACAACAATGGTAGATTTCGGAAGGAGAAGAAGATTTCATGGACTGAAATGTCATAATTAGGACAATTCACGACTATAACATCGATTCCTGCTATAAAATGAATTTTTTCAGCATGACTCCACCCTTACTAAGCTTAGGAAAACAACTGACTGATGCATGGAAGCTCATCGAAAGAATTTATTTGTTAAGATAATAACAAAATTTTATTGATTTTCAATATTCACTCGAAACGTATCATCGAAAAAAATAATTTTCATCGATTAAATTCAAGGGTACCTCAGTAATAGACAATTTTACGACTGGAAGTTATATTATGAATGATGATATTCTGATCCCATATACAGGGTGTAACATAAGTAAGTACGTTTATATAGTCAAGTGACGTATTCCTGAGACAATTTCAAGAATATGCATCGTTTCGGAGATACAGGGTGCTGAAATTGATTTTTCATCTCGATTTTCAAAAATAACTATTGCAAAATATAAGTTATTTGCACGAAATTTGGTACGCGAGATTTTTTAAGTAGGAAATATTTGCACAAAACACAAAATTTGGTACGCGAGATTTTTCAAGTAGGAAATCATAATTTCGTATTGACTTTTATGTAACATCTAGAGGGCGATGGGTAAGCTGTCATTATTTGTTTCAAATTGCCCTAACATATTTGACGGTGAACTTTTGATACTTTTCATTCCCACACCTTTCCCGAATAAAAAAACGTTCATGCCCCCAACAACGCTTGGAGTGATCATTTTCGAGATATTCACTATTTTCTTTATCGATGTATGTTACTTAACTCCTATAGGGCGCTAAGTAGAGTTGCTGAGAACGTTACAAGAATTAGGTATTGGTAGGTGTCGTCAAAATAAACTGGTTTTTTCCTTGAAATGTTTATCGAAAAATGATTGTTTTCGAGATACAGATGGTTGAATTAATCCAAAACATGGTTGGTTTTCGTCAACTGCAACTGCAGATATTTTCATCAAACTTTAAACACAAGCTCCTTCGGAAAAAAGTTGTCAAACTTTGAACACCAGCTTCTTCGGAGAAAAAGTAGTTCATTGTGACCAAACCATCCACAAACTTAGTTTTTGTTAAGTTCTCAGCAACCCCACTTAGCGCCCTTGGAACTGAGTAACATCGTATCATCGATAAAGAAAATTGTGAATACCTCGGAAACAATCACACTATAGCGTTGTTGAAAACATGTTCCTTTTTTACTTGGAAAAGTGGTGTGAGACTACGATTTTCTTATGAAGAGTACCAAAAGTTTACTGTCAGAAATATAACGGCAATGAAATGAATAATCACAGCGTACACAGCGCCCCCCTCTAGATGTTACATGAAAATTGATATGAAATTATGATATCCCACGTCGCGAAAACCCGGGATACCAAATTTCGTGCTAATGAATCATCTTTTGCAACAGTTGTTTCCTAAAAGTGAAAAATTAATTCAATTTCAAGACCCTGTATCTCCGAAACAGTGCATTTTCGGATACAAGTTCAAAATAACTGTTTTTCTTGAAATTGTCTCAGAAATACGTCACCCAAATATTTTAACGTACTTATGTATACCCTGTATACAAGATGGAATCGACTGTCCTGAAAATGCGTCGGGAAACCGGTTCAGTAGGGCGTAGGGTCAAGCCCTGTGTTCAGCGAATAATTCCTGTACATTCCTGTCTTGGCCAGGGCCTTGGTGAATTCCTGGTTGTTCGGGAAGAAGGACGTAGGCACGCTGTGAATGGTGGGCGCGTATCTGGAAAAGTGGAAAGGAACATTGGAGAAGTCTGTAGTGAAATTATTTCGCTCATGTGCAATCAATCATATCTTATAGTATAAAGACGGATTTATGCACACCGCTTGTAATTTCACAAGCATTAACGATTTCACTAATAAGTTAAAACTTGGTATTCCCGTTCATTCATTCATATGCACCTAAATTGAATTTCATATTTCTCAATAACTATTCGCTAAAGATGACCAACTTCAATCTCTTAACGACACATACTGTGACTTGCGCAGGCGCGATTCTATCATAAGTCAGACAAGCAATTTCCTCTTCTTTTTTCAAAATGTGGTTAAAAATTCTGAAAATTCTAGTCGTATTTTCAAATTAGACTCTGAATACAATATGAATCGAAGATTCTTATTGTAATTATGTGATCACTGAATGTTATAACACACTATAATCATCGAGCTAAGCCGAGAGCTAAGCTAAGTAAGTTGAGGAATATGTTTTGATCAAGAAGAAGATTTTGAAATCAAAAAAGGTAGTGCATGAAGGTATCATAGTCCTTGAATAAAAATAAACTTGAATGAAAGTTGATGGAAGCAACAGACTTTGTCTCATTTAACAATATATTTATATTTTTTAAAGAATTTCTAGAATGAATCACCCGGTCACCATCTCTATACTCTCGTTGCGCGGCTTTAGCATTTTTATTATTTAGCAAATACATTGATGGAATATCACATTTTTCCATGTGACTGAAGCCCAGAATGAAAAATAACTGATTCATCATAGCACCTATCAAATTGACAACCAATAATTCAATTATTTCCTTGACCTACTCTACCATTAATGTTCGCTGATTATCTAAGAAAATCTGGTGAAAATGTGAGATTTAACATGAAATATCTCGCAATCTACGATAGCTAACATAAAACATATATGATTATGTACTTCCTTATACCAGAGCCTATTCTGTCTGGAAGTTATTTGTTCAAATAATAAATAAATAAATAAATAAATCACAAGAATATACTCAATCTAATAGTTCCAAAATATATAGGGTGTTCCATTTAAAAATGTATACATCTTGGCCATAACCCTTTTTTGAGATGTTCAATTGTTTTTTTCTGTTAACATATTCAAAATCTATGCAGGAAAAATGGAAAAAGACTGTCCTTAAGGAAAATAACATCTTGATAAATGAAATATTCAAAATACACGTGAAGACCTGTACTTCCTGTGTTTTGTATGCTTCGCGAAAAAATAGTCGCAACTCGCATCTGTTTCCCAGAAATAGTGACTAATATTCTGCGAATGATATGCACTTGACCCCAAGATACTCCAATGAATTAACAGTACCCACAATCAAGAAACAACTTATAACCAAACATCTTCTTATCACAGGGTGTCTCTAAATCGTAGTATCTCAGGGATCGACTGTTGACATATTTTATTGATTTGTCGTTTTCCATTTATGGAGTTGGAACTATAATACATTCGGTCACTCCAATGCCTATAACCAACATAATCAGATAGCCAGTGATGCCAACCTTTGGGAATTTCCCGATATTATGGGAATATTTGTTGAAAAATTTAGGAATGGGAAAATGGAGAAAAACCGAAATGAACTCATAATATGGGAATTTTTGTAGTTACCTACCTGCTGCTATTCTCACTGGAGCATGAAACAAGTGTCAATGACAGAAGTCTCGATCCTTGAAGCATGAAAGCATTTTTATTCTCGAAGTTTCTGTACCAACCGAGGCCTTTCTTCGAATTCAATGTGCAAAATATTATAAATATGGACCAGAGTAGTTTTTTTTTCATTTGGGTGCCCATTCTTGATGAAAACGAACATATAAGGATTATTCAGGACTGTGTCCAAGAAAACCTAATTATGAGAGGACGTAGACCAATCACTATATGCTCTGATAGCAAAGCTGCAATACTGGCTCTGCAATCAAATATGATCACATCCAATTTGGTGTCCGAGTGCAGAAAAGCCTTGGAAAACCTGTCAAAATCAAGAAAAGTCAGCCTCATGTGGGTCCCGGGACATTCGGGAATACCCGGAAACGAGGAGGCAGACAGACTGGCAAAGATCGGTTCAGGACGGACCTCGGTCGGACCGGAACCAATCTTGAGAATACCAAATAGCCTGGTAATGTCCTCTATAGAGGAACAGCTGCAAAAGCAATTCCTCAAAATATGGCAGGACACACCAGGAATGAGACAATCGAAGCTCCACATAAAGGAACCTTCGAAGAGGCTCGCAAAAGAGGTTTTATTCCTAAACAGGCGAAACCTTAAAATGGTAGTGGGGCTCCTAACGGGACACAACCACCTCAATAGGCACCTACAGCTTATTGGGATCAAGGATGACCCCCTTAGCAGATGGTGCCTGGAAGATGACGAAACGTCATCACATGTCCTCACTGAGTGTCCAGCACTGACGCATCAGAGGAGGGCTGTCCTTGGCAACATAATTTTGAGGCCAGAGGACGTGAAAGAGATTCAGCTGAGGAAGCTCCTGAACTTCTCCAAGGCAGTCGGCATACCCAGCTGAATGTCGTAACATGAGGGCGCACAATGGACCCGAATAAGGAGGCCCACGTGCAGGGGGTTCACCCGCCCACCAGTGCTTCGAAGAAGAAAGAAGAAGAAGAAGATTTTTCAGGAAAAATATTTTGAAAAAATATGAATTTCTTGACCCATGCTGGGGAATTCTTATCAAAATAGGTTGGCAATACTGCAGACAGTGACCTAATTCCAAATACGCCACTAAGATGCTACGATCATTTATAGCAACCCTGTATAATGCAATGGAGGCTTACAATTTCTTGCGACCTAATTTGAAAACTATCACGAAAGCCAACAGGTTTAGAACTTCCGTCATTCAAATTCTGGAAAGATGAATGTTTTCACTGATTCAACTGTTGGTGGCAATAATACTACTTGTTTGTAATGTAATACTGATTTAACCAACTAGTGTATTGATGATGACGTCAATGTTCGATATCATTAATCATTAATCGATTCACTGATATACGAGTTGGTAACAAAGTTATTCCGTCGACTATATTTCTCCTGCAATAAAGAAAATTTGCGAATTCATTATCAATCCGGAAAAAATACTAGCAATCACCCAGTAGCCATTGGAGTCATCTTGTCACTGATATTAGATATTCACTCCTATTGAAATCCATCTTATGCATTTGAGTTTGAGTAATCAATCTCCGAGGTCAAATAACAACGATCATTGCAAGATGACTGATGAGATAATTCCATTAGCATTAGACTTCAAACTATTCCTGAAAACATCGAAATCTTCTTTTCAAACTTTAATCCAATTGATATCCGAGGTCAATTCAACTTGACAAAAATCTAATAGATTCTCTTGAATATAAAACCTAGTTGTTGTCTGAAAGCAGACAAATCTAGAATAAAGCGAGTCTTTGAAGTGACTCCAAAACTAATATACAAACCCTATGTGTAATACATTTTTGAATCCAGCTTTCTATGGAGATTCCGAAAATTAGATAATATATAGGGTGTTCTGTTCGAAAAAATTGTCGTGGTCGTCATAACTCAAACGTGAATGACCTTGTAAATTTAATTTTCTCATATGAATTCGGGAATTGAAAATCGACTCGCTCCAGTAGATTCCTCAGAAATGAATATTTTGACTGGAAATGAATGTATTCAGTACTTTTCTCATCTCTTGTAGCGCACGAAAGGAAATTCCTATGATGTTCGTGGAACATCGTGTACAAAGGAAGGATAGGGAGAGGAGGTAAGTGTAAGGTGAAATATTTCTTGAACTTTTGAAGGTTATTAGTTCTTGAGAAAACTTCCATTGGCGAAGAATTTCAAAGCAACGAAAGCACTGTATGTAACTATACAGGGTGTCTCGCAAGTGAGCTACAGCCGTCTAAAAGGAGCTATACAAAAAATCAACTACTTTCATTTCACCAAACATTTTCATAGAAGCGCGTAAATGAGCAAATACTCAGTGATTAAAAAACTACTTCAATTGTTTTGTATTTTTTGTCAAATCTACTAGGATTTATTGCATTGTTATGCCCACTGTGTGAAATCCATTCTACCCGAAAATTATGCATGTGATCGATATGGAACAAGGGAGTTACTTTATTGTGTAAAGAGGATAGAATTTTCTTCATTAAATTGGGAATGGAAATTTTAGTTCAAGCAATATCATCTTCTGGAGCATAGAAGCTGCTGGTGGAGTTTGGCAGGTTAATCTAGGAACACCCTGTATATGTAGTCCTGATGTCTATACAACTCACTTCAGAATAAAAATTTGCACACAAAATCAAGTTTGATTATCATGACTACTGTTAGATAAGAGTAGCCATATTGCTTTTTGTGAACATGAAAAAAGTGTGCTGGCATATTTTCTAAATTCCTTTCCTAAGTTTTTCCGATGGATATTGCAGAAATGTGTGACAAAACTAGGAGCTGCTGCGAACATATAGTGGTAGATTAATTGCCAGAAAGATCCCGGAAATTTTTTTAGCCTAAAGAGTACCTACTCTGTATACCCTGTATTCCTGCTTTTGTCGGTGTAAAATCGCTAACAGGACGTGCAAAAACTATTTTTCTGTCTCACATTTATGGCAGCAATCTATTGAAAAATATGGTGGAACCTTAGCCGTGGCACTTGATATCTCCAAGGCATTCAATCGAGTCTGGCACCACGGACTCCTCGCCAAGCTTCCATCTTATGGCATGCCTCCCAAGTTATGTTCCCTGCTACCTAGTTTTCTCGCAAACAGGTCGACGGAGTTTCATCTGACGCTCTTATCATAAATGCTGGTGTTCCGCAAGGATCAATTCTAGCACCAACACTATTTCTACTCCATATTAACGATTTGTCCAGTACACTGCTTCGCGGATGATAGTACCCTCTATACCGTCTTCTCTTCCAGGGCTCCAATACCAGCCCGGCAAATCAGAAATGAACGAGGGAGGAATGTTGACAACATAAATATGGACTTGGCAACAATTCTCGAATGAGGATCCAATAACTTGGTAGATTTCCATGCAAGCAAAACACAAGCATGCCTTTTCTCTAGAAAATCCGATCTCGCTGTGCCAAACATGAGCATGTCAGGAGTAACCATATCTTTGAAGACATCCATTTCGATGCTTGGTATTACTATCAGCGATAATCTCACTTAGGAAAATCCCGTGAGATCAATTGCTAAAAGTGCATCCCAGAAACTGGGTTTTCTGTTTCGGGCCAGGAGCTATTTCACTTTCAGTCACATCTATAAGGCACAGATCCGATCTGTCTTGGAAAACTGGTCCCATATTTGGAACGCAGCACCCAAACACACCCTGAAACTGTTGGATTCTGTCCAAAAAAGGGCAATTCGTCTCGTGGGTGATGCCTCGCTCACAAACTCACTCACTCCTCTGGCACACCGTAGATGACAATCTGGCTCTATTTTATTGATATTTCCATGGACGTTGCTCTCCTGAAATATCAACACCTTCCTTGGCAGTCTCCGCGAGATTAACCCGTCGAGTTGAGGCCTCGCATCCCTTCGTGGTCACTTCCTCAAGGCATATATCCTTCAGAAATTTGAGAAGAACACCAATTGGTTCTCACGATGTTCTCTGAACATTACAGGATATCTTGCCCCCACCCTTGAGATTATTACTGCGGACCCCTTCAACACAGGGGGCGAAATTTCGAACATCTTCATGAAATATCTCGATAAATAGTGGTTTGTTGACATTTTCATTATCAAATTCGTGTTTTTCAGACCAAAATACAAAAAAAAATTCTCGAAAAAAACCATCGCATGAAGAGTGCAGTTTTACCAAAATGATGTAGGTATAATTTTTATTCTCACTGACAACGTGTTCTTGAGACATTAAGTGCAAATTTATCAAACCAAAGACGAAGCTGTTATCGGAGAATATATTATATACATTTTGCATCAAGCGATATCTTATTAGGTATCTAAAAAATCTCTCACCTTCCATAGTCACTGGAAGTCGTCCTATAAAACGGATGCTCGGACGGCTGCCTCTGTATTCCGTATCCGTAGAACCACGAAGGATATTCGAACCTTTTCGGCAGTTTGCAAGTCCTGTAGAAATCCGACGTTTTAGGCACGACGTCGAGACCCTCGCTCAGATCGTTGCAATCCATCTTGTCCAGGCCGCAAATCTTTCAGATTTACTTCTGCGGTTTTCACTGAACTTTTGCTGAAGAGGCGACCCGGATTCCGATACAATTCGGCGATTGTCAAGAAATGACAGACGTCAAGATGGGAGATCGGGGTCGAACAATGGTTATCGATCAAACTTATCGCAGGAAATGGTGAGAGTAAGATGGATATGATATGGTGCAGTCACTGATATACTATAAAGTAGTAGCCGAAGAATATGGATAAGAAGAAACAGAAAAATGAACCTTTGAATACAGAAATTATGAAGCTGCATGATTATAATCTCGAGTGAAAACAGTCAATTTACATTAACTGCCGTGTGAAACATGTTTTTTTTTTCAAAATTTTATAGAACCAATTTCCCATAGTCTTTTTATTGAAATTTCAGGATATTCATTTTCGACCAATTGAAAGGCAACTTATTGATCACGTTGCTTATAGCAATGAAACGCCTTATATCTAGAAGCAAAAGTCACTCAATTGCATTTGAAACTATCAGATGTTTATGATTGAAAACGAATCAATGTTTTTAATCCCAACTACGAAATAGCCACAATGCTCAAGGTGTAATGGAATGTTGAATAAATACAAAAAGCTCAAAGTCATTTCCTCACAATGTTCATAAAATAAACAACAATGGTGGATTTCGGGAGGAAAATAATTACTTTACTTGCTAATACCATGCAGAACATTGAATTACATCCTCTCGAAATCTATGCATCGACTCGTATGAACGAATACTGATACAAGTGATTTTTTGCTGGATGCCTTTTGATTTCAATTCAGCCAGGCCACGCTATAGACACCTACAGACCGGTTTCGATATCGTTGACTCTCATCAGTGAAGAGCAGTCTCCAGCCAGCAGTTCTAAGACCACCGACTGAGCGTAGCCTAGCGAAACAAAAATCAATTCGGCATTATATTCCCCCAGAGGCGTCTTTCATAGAGAATATGAGAGCAACGCCATCTGAGTAGAAAAGAAAGAAAGACACACTCCAAAACCAAAATTTCCATACTAAATAGTCACAATGCTCAAAGTGTAATGAAATTTTGAATAAATACGAAAACCTAAAAGTCATTTCCACACAATGTTTTCGGTTTCGGAAAAACTTGCAACCCTCTCAGCCTTTTCAGTTAAATCAAATATTTCTTCAACTTGAAAGAAGTACGAATGCTCGAGAATCTTCATTCGACACATCTGATCTGACATTTGATTTGTTAGGACAAGAATTCGCAGAAACGACTTCGATAAATTGCATAATCTCATTGAATTATCCCCCATGCAGTAGTTGCTCCAAATGTTATAACTATGACAGTTGTCTGTGAAAACATAACGTGTGATACATTGATGAGGAGGAGCATATCCAGTGTTTCTGAGTGAGCTGAAATATCTAGGGTGATTCCATGAACTAGAAATATGTTTCTGAACCAACATAAAATGGCTTGCTTGTTTACAATAACACTTGTAAAATATCAAAATAGACTAGTCCTAACCGCACAACTATAAGTGGTCATCCGGTACCTATTATCTGTTATCTCCGTTCACCTATTATGCCAACCAGGAAAATCCATATTCAATGTACAAATATGTACTACGTGTCCCAGCTGAAACTTGTCACCCTCCCAATCTCCGTAGTCATATAGAGGAAGAACTTTTTCCCTCAACCCCAGCATCCCCTACTGGCCCCACTTCGAAATTTCCCATTGGCTACTATACTTGTAGGCTTGTCAAGACAGGTTTCTTACGCTGGGAGAAGAAAAAGAAAAAAAACAGAGAGCCCAAAGTTACACATGGGATCTGAAAGCTAGCCTATGGAGTCTCATAGAGTAGGCGGGCCTAGCCAAAGAGCTCTGAACGATTTTGAAGGCAGACACAATAAATCTGAAAAGGTCGCGGTGTGGAGGCAGATAGCTCGAAGGCCCCACTCTGAATCTAAATCTGAAATCTAATACTTGTGGTATATCATCATGGTAATGCAACTGATAATCGATCAAGCGTTGTGGAAATTTTAATAAAAATTATCAAGATTTATTCATTGTTCATTTACTGAAATGATACAATTTGGAAGGTTCAACCATATTCAGTTCCATCAAGAAGTTTAACTGAGAGATATTCAAAATGCATCACACACTTTCCAAAGATTGTGGTCTAACGGTGAAAATTCATGAAATCTAGTGATCTAATGAGACATCGCATACATACTTTTGTGAAATCATGAGTCAGTTATTGATTAGTGGTTATGATTAGAGTATGGCTTCTAAAATATCACCGCAGGAAAAAATGTGACCCAGACCTAGAAATGGTATCAATAAAAAAAGTGCAGTCATGACCTGATGAAATCGACGTCATCTGCAAAACCGAATTGTTCAGATACTCTAGGCTCCGAGGACTGAACGCCTTCATCCTCTTCCTTTCATCTCAAAGCCTTCTTTGGCGAATCGAACTATACCTCTACAATGTGGTCTTTCCTGACAAAATATTCCTATTCGAATGGACATATATGAACAGGAACAACTGCAGATACTCCCAAGAGACAGTTTCTATCTGTACTCTGTTCAAGTTGAGTAGGTCTAACTTAGTTCCTTAATGTACTGTTTCCCATGTCTCTTTCTTCGGATGTTTTGCTCAGAACCTCTTATATGTTTTGTTCGAATCCAGTCTTCAACTGTCGCGTGTGCTGTACATTTTGGTACTCCAGAGTCTATCCTGGATCTGACTTGTTGACCAGCTCTCTTCTTGCAAGTTCGTCAGCCTTCTCATTGCCAGCGATCCCCTGATGTCCTGGCACCCAGATTATAGCTTGACGCGGTTCCGGTCTTCCAAAGTTACCAGTTCCCTCTTGCAATCCCATACCAGTCGAGTTGTCACTGCCTGGCTTTCTATTGCCTTCAGTGCCCCTTGACTGTCTAACATAATGCCGATCTTTTATGGATATATAAAACACCGTCTTTTTACATGGGAAGATCAATGTAAGAATTCAACTATGTAGTGGAAATTTTCCTCATTGGACCTAGTTCCCGCCTTGTCGAACGCCTCTGACATTTTTACGTCACCTCGAGAGGTTATAGGATATAATTGCGGCCGATGAGATTCTCGGCCGCCGAAACGACCCGATGAAAACGACCACGCCGTCGATTTGACCTACAGGCGATATTGCTTTCTGGATTTATGACGCCGATATCTAATCACCTGGGAAGAGGATGATTCATTAGCTGAGATGGAGGCAGTCCAGTCCGCTTTTTCGCAGCATTAGGGGCCGAGTACGATTGACCGAATGCCGATGGACATTTCATTTGAGGAGGGTCTTTTGATTAGGGGAACACAACGAGGGACACATATGAAGGAAGTACGTGGACTGTATGGAGTCTATAAAAATTTATTAAGGCATCATATCTCTAGGGCAATATTTCTCGGCCATAACTCATATAATCTTTGGCGAAATATGTAATGAACAATACAGTGTGACTCACTTTTAACGCCCATCCCGCCCCCTTTATATCTCAGCTATAGATCGGACGATACTTGCCAAATTTGGACTGGTATGAATGAGCCATCTGATGTTTCAATATTCGCAATTAATTTGAATCAAATATTTTTCGAGGCAAAAAATTAGGCAAATCCTGGTATTTGGAATGAGTCGAATTTCAGCACATAGACATTCGAAAGGGCGGGGAAAGGCTGTACAACAATCACAGTGAACATATGAAGCTTGAGTCTTTGATATCCTTCGAAATTAAGCTCAAGTACATCATTTTCAGCAGGAAGTGAATCATGATCCACGAACTTTTCTCAAACTGAATCCACCAATACGGCTATTATTTACGAAGGCGTAGAAAGGCCAACAAGTTTATTTTTATGGAATTGCCACTTCGAAGTGGCAATTGTCACTTTGAACTGACAATTGTCACTTTGAAGTGACAATTGTCTCTTTGAACTGGCAATTGTCACTTTGAAGTAATAATCGTCACTTTGAACTGACAATTGCCACTTTGAACTGGCAATTGTAATTCAGAGATCTGAATATCTCGATAACTGAAATAAAATCTTGAAACTTCAACGCTCTGTGGATCGATAATGAAGCTTTTGCGGACACAACATGTTCATAAAAAAAAGTCTCATTTTGACCTGAAAAATTAGCCTCCGGAATCTTCATACTGAATTTTCAAACACCCCTGTATACAGGGTGTCCTTGAAAGGTCTTTGAAAAAACTTACCACATATTCCTCAGACCAGAACAATTCGATACAAGCGAATTTACCTCATTACAAAGTTGCTTAGTTTGGGCGCTAGACGGCTCTGAAGTTACAATTTTCAAATCGTTTTTACTTCATATAACATTGGAACGATTCATGAAATATCACTCAAATTTGATACGTTGGCATAGCTTTATCGGGCAATAAAATCCATATCATGATTATGATGAATATCATTCCATGGGCGTAGAACTTGATTTTTTCCGTGAAGAACATCTAAAACTTCTACGCCAATGAAAAGAAAGGGGTTTGTGTATGAAATTTGGATTGCGTAACTTGTTCACTACAAAAAAGATACTGCTGATGAAATTCGATTACTGTCATAGTTTCGACAAAATTTAAGTTTTAGAAATTCAAAACATTAGTCAACACCTAAACGATAAACAATATTTCATAAAAAGTGTTCGAAATGTTAATAATTTCCTCAAAAAAAAAAATGGATACAAGCACACTCTCCTCAGTACAAAGTTTCTCAGTCTGGGCGATAGACGGCTCTGGCTTACTGGGTACAAAAAAAAAATCAACGAAAAATAGCTGATAGCATATTTCAATTTATTTCGTAGTATACGTACGTATTTCAACCGTATACGTGGAAATGATGACAATTTCGAACAAATTTTATGATATATCTGTTGAAAGTTTTGGTGCTTCGAATTACAATTTTGTTGAAATCATGAGAGTAATCGAATTTCATCAAGAGAAATTTTTTTGTAGTAAAAAAGTTACGCAATCCAAATTTCATACACAAACTTCTTTCTTTCCATTGGCGTACAGGTTTTAGATGTTTTTTTACGGAAAAAATCAAGTTCTACGTCTATGGAATGATATTTATCATAATCATGATATGGGTCTAATTGCCCGAT